GGCTTCAGGGACACAAGTTCCTGGAATGAAAGACAAAGATAAAATGATCTTTAATGCTAAATTTAAATACAATTTCCACAGATGTGAAGCATGAACACCTACTTCAAAATTTTCACGAGCTTCTACACTGCCTTTCAGGAGACCTCAATACACGGCCTCAATTTTACTGAAAGGCATATTACAAATTAGCAAAACTTTAAAAGTACCATTCAAAAAAATCAGATTTTGATATAAAACATAATTCAGAATTCTTAGAAAATCAAAGCACTAAAAATTCAGGATTTAGGCGATGACTTCTACAGGATGAAAAGGAAAACACACCTCCCTAAATTCCCCTTCAGGGAATTTCACCCTTGATAGCAAAGCAGTAACTTCAAAGAAATGAAAAAAAGAATAGAGTTGTGATTTCTCTGACTAAGAATTCTGAAATTTTACTTCTGATGCCTGGTGGACTTTGAAATCAGAATTGTCTTAAGAAACTAAAGGTCCTAACTTGAAGAGGCTGACCACTCTTCGTAAGGCCTATTTCTGTCGAATCGAAGACTTTCAATCTGCCCCCCCGTTGAACTTTCCTACATACCACTGGCTCTCCTTTTCTTCTTGAAACTCTCTGCATACTTGGTTTCTGTGACCCTATTGCACTGTTTCAATTGCCATGTTCTATTGCTAAAATGCAAAGATTGGCTACAGATCAACATATTATATTCTCAAGTAAGAATACGGTAAGTTACTGTGGCAGCAAAATGTATGACATAAATAGTAATTTTGTGATAATATCTGTAGATGGATAATAATTAGCTGACAGAAATAACTGTAGTTTACACCACTTTTATGCAATACATCTCAGAACAGAGAAGGTAATATCCCAAATGAAAAAAATGATACTACTGATCTTCAGACATTAAAAAGAAACTATTATGAATTAATTTGTGTTCAGAATTTGACAATTTAAACAAAACGGGTAAATTCCTAGAAAAATGTAATTTACTAAACTGACGTAAGAAATGGAAAACCTGCGTTGATTTTCAACCACTAAAGAAATTGAATAAACAGTCAAAAATCTTCCCACATGGAACACTCTCGGCCCAAACAGCTTCACTGGTTAAGTCCTAGCAATCACGTAAGGAAGGAGTATTTCCAACATTAAATCTATTACGAACAATAGAAGAGAAAAAACTTCTTCAGCTCTCTGTATAAGGCTAACGAAGTTCTCATACCTAAATCCAACAGAAGGTAAGAAAGAAAAGGAAAATTACAGATCCATCTTAATCGTG